TTTTTTTCAGAAATACTGCACATTTACATTTTTCTCCTAAATAAATTCTGGTAAATAATATTTCTGGTAAATACTCCTTTAAAAAGTGTTTTTTGATTATAATTTTATTATTAGTAGACTAGAACACGTGGATATGTTGTCATTCTTACACTATAATACTGAACTTTGATTTCAGTGATTTGGACTATGAGATGGACACTTGTTTTTCGCACTTTACTTTTGGATTTCGTTTGGTTTAATGAAATATAGTTTAATAAAATATTCTTAAGTAAAATTGTTGATTTTTTTTTGTGGGGGAAATTAATCGTTTAGATTAATCGATAAATTAGTCGATAGATTAATCGAAATAAAAATAGTCGTTAGTGGCAGCCCTAAACTGCTGATGCAAACTATTATACTACTGTTCAAAAGTTTGGGGTCAGTAACTTTTTTTTTGATAGAAACTAAAACTTTTATTCAGCAAGTATGAATTAAATTGATCGAAAGTGACACATTTATGTTGTTACAAAAATGTCTTTTTCAAATAAACACTGTTCTTTTGAACTTTCTATTCAACAAAGAATCCTAAATCCTGTTTCCAACATTATTAATAATGAGAAATGTTTCATGAGAAAATTCAGCTTTGCCTTTACAGGAATGAATTAAATTTTTAAATATATTCAAATTAGGGATATGCCGGTATCAAATTTTCATGTTGCGATTAATTGCTAATGCTTTTATTACGGTATACGGTATTATCACGATCAAATAGAAAACAGTTGTTTTAAATTGTTATTTCACAATATTACTGTTTACTTGTTGATCAAATAAATCCAGCCTGGGTGAGAATAAGAGATAAACTCTAAAGTGTGTCTCCTCTAAAGGCAAGTTCGTCTTCACCACTCGTACGTGAGCGGGCAGATGCCACTGAGCAGCTGATGACAGTATCTTTTAGTACACTCTTTGACCTATGAATGTTTGGCTCGACAGCATCTACGCTACACTGGCAGAGAGCAGGACCTTGTGCCTGTGTAATGTCTTGACTGCTCTCGATGAATTTAAATTGAAATGCTACACTGGCAGCCGTTTTCAGCCGCTGTTTCATGAACATTAGGTGAAGTGCTTGAGAACTAGTGAGGCTCACAGATGCTGATGGTCTTTTTTTTTCCTCCATAGATGGGTCTTGCAACCGCTAACGGCCCGTTCGGGCAGCAGTACTCACAGGGTTCAGTCCCGCAGATGTCCAGCGCTGGATTAAATGCTCAGATCCAGAACAAGGCAGCTCTTCCCAACAGCCTCCAGCCCACCCTGAAGGGTGCTTCCAGCGTGCCAAATCTGGTGAGTAACCCTCCACAGCTGGCTCTGGTTCCAGAACAGAACACTTCAGGCCTCTTTTGTCTCTGCGTCAAACTTCTATTCAGCAGCTATTTATTCATTTGAAGAGCTAATTGAAGTGCATGTTTACACGTGACAGAATACGACGCAAAGAGTGGATAAACTGGCTGAATGAAGTCTAAAATTGTTGTTTGAACAGTCATATCTGAAAATTAACCTCAACTGCTCCAGCATTGTGTAATTAGGTCAACAAAGTCTATTTATTTTAATTTGCTTTTGCTTTTCATTTCATTTTTTTTTTTTACTGAATAGTTTGGGTCAGTACATGTTTTTTTAATACATTAATTAAAGGGTGCATAAATACATGAATTGATTTCTGAAGGATCATGTGACACTGAAGACTAAAGTAATGATGCTGGAAATTCAGCTTTGCATCACAGGAATGAATTACGTTCAAAAATATATTCAAATAAAAAACAGGTATTTTAAATTGCAATATTTCACAATATTACTGAGTTGTGGCTGCACAATTTACAAATAAGAAATGTTACAACAATTCTGTTGTTGAAGCCAAGAGGACAGAACACATTGTTTTGATTAAGGCGTAAAAGAAACGCTTAACACCTCAGCGAATAAAATCACAACTTCACAGCCTCTCATGGCTTGAGGCTTTATTCTATCCAACTGAGAATATTTAGAAAGATTTGTTTCTTTATATAATAACAACTGAAATGGAGCTTCTATCTAATCAAAACTCTTCCCTCCAGCTGCAGCAGCAGGTGCCCTCGGTGGGCATGGTCCCGGGACAGGGGGTGTCAGCGGGCCCCACGGCCGATCCAGAGAAGCGCAAACTGATCCAGCAGCAGCTGGTCCTGCTGCTTCATGCCCACAAGTGCCAGCGGCGAGAGCAGGCCAACGGCGAGGTGCGCCCCTGCGCCCTGCCCCACTGCCGCACCATGAAGAACGTCCTCAACCACATGACCCACTGTCAGGCTGGGAAATCCTGCCAAGGTGAGATACGAAATGAGACCAGTTATGTTAATATATAACTAGACTCCAGCACTTTACCCCAAGCTCTGAATTTGATAGAAATCATTGTCTGTCATGTGAAATTTCTGAGTCGATCTGAAAGTGCTTGTGTATTCCTTCCATCTCTCTTTGTCCACAACCATAGTTTGGTGATGACTGTACATCTCAGTGTTGTTAAACTGTCTGGCCAGTCACTCAGGCTTCATGTAAACTTGGGAAGTCACTCGTGGCTCTTGTGGTCTCACTGTCTAAGTATGAAGGAGTCTGAAACGTCGAAACCCCTTTTATTCCTTAACATGATATTATTTGGGCAGAGTATTTTATTATGGTGCGAAAAAACAAATGTCGAAAACTCTTGCTCATCAAGAGTGTTATGTCTGATTTATTAGTTGTGCTTGTTAAGATGAGCATGACTGCTTTTATTGCTCTTGAATGCTTGGCTTACTTTGCAGGAGGGACCTGAACCATGTCTAGGGACCTTTATATCATAAGCTATTTTTCGGCACCCAATATGGACCCATTTCACACATATCCAGCAGAAACTGGGATGGAAAAATGTTTAAATAACAACCAAGTTGTTGCAAAGCTACATTGCTTCCATTATAATCAACCACGCTACACTGGAAATGTGCAGTGTGACACGAATTCTGTATATCTCTGTTGTCTTATTGTCAAATATAATGTGAATTGTTTACTTTGAATTGTGATTGTTAGTAGATAAAACAGTTAATACAAACTTAAATGTCGGGCTCCTTTGAATTGGGCCAGTAACATAGAAAACACTTATTTACTTGCAAACATGTTGCCTTTCTTTTCTAAATTTGCCGTTACGATGTTGAAACAACCCATTCATGTGATTGGTGCAAATGTGAGGAGTTGTTTTTTGTTTGAATGTATGTCTGGAGGATACTGACTGTCTTCAGAAAAGTTTTGATGGTATTAGGCGTCATACAGAGGTGTTTATAAGCTCAGCACTGCTGTGTACAGGGGTAACCGCTGTATTTCTGTTTGTCCATAAGTGCCGCATACTATCAGAGAGTGAATTTGAATTTTCATTCAGCCCGCCTACCGTTTTTATTCAGACCAATTATATATAACATGCATAATAGCTTATTACGTTGAAATGTGATGTTTAGTATTTTATAAAACTTGCTGTCAAAAATGTGTAATTGTTCAAATCATAGTTTTTGGCATCATTTTACAGTTTAGGAAGTTACCATAGACATGGGTGGTGTTTCAAAACAACGTTGCTACCTAAACATGTCGTTCTGTTCTAATATCAGAATTTTCCGAAACGATTTCAAGGTTCCAAGTTTTTTCTGATTCCAAAAAGTTTTTTCCAGTAACCAAGTTTCCCCAGTAACCAAGCACCCAGTAACCAAGCACCCTGTAACGTCCCCAGCAACCATATAGCAACATATTTCCAGCAAGGCACCATTAGTGTTTTCTTGTAGTTTCTGAATGTGTTTTGGCAATTATTATTCATCAGTTTTGTTTAGGTTTTTATTCATCAGGTTTTTCAGGTTCTTTTAAGTGTGTAATTGCTCAGTAGTGTAATTTTTCCTTGCAGCATATCGAAGTTTTTTTATTATTTATTTTCCCTCCGTTTCTACAGTGGCTCACTGCGCCTCCTCTAGACAGATCATCTCGCACTGGAAGAACTGCACTCGGCACGACTGCCCTGTCTGTCTGCCCCTGAAAAACGCCAGCGACAAGAGAAACCAGCAGCGTAAGTCGTACTCTCAATTAAAATAAACCACCTGCACCGATGCATTCTCTGTATGAGTTTATTTTCCAAGCAGGATTTTGATCATATTTTAGGGATAAAGATTATACTTAATAGTACTGTATGGCAACATTGCATTAAAAAAAGTTGCACCAACACTATCATGTGATTTAATTGGTACGGTTAATGACTGAATCTCACAATTAACTGTACATATTTTGCAAAATATTTAGTCTCTTATTAAGACCATTGTACCTTTTTTGCAATTACATTTAATTGCAAAAAATCTTAGTTATGAAAATCATCCTTTCTGCCCTAATACACAAATTTGGCCATTTTGAAAGTATAAAAAAAGCAAAAATAATTATTTAAATGAACGCAGGTTTGTTACTTTACTGATTGTGTGTTTGCATCTCATGCTTTGAGATACGGGATCCGTTCAGAAGAGTGCTGCCACCTGTAGGTCGTGCGAGCAGCTCTGCTGCGCTCTGAATGTGAAAGCATGAGACCAGCAGTGGATTCCGGCAGGCAGCGGGACTGTAATCTGACACCGCGGGGGAGGGGCTCCACCTCTGGTTTTTCACAGGGGGCGGGACATGCAGAGCTCCCGCTCTCTTGATTGGTCAGCCGATCACTGACTCGTTTAAATCCCCCTGTAGTGGCAACAGAAGCACGTTCTCTCAGTGTCTCGTGCAGTTCTGCTCTCCGCCGCTGCTCAGAGAGCTCTGTGTTTGCAAAATGGCTTTTCCACTTCAGTCACTTGTGTTTCCCGTTCGAGTGGAATTACTGCAAGATTCCAGTTATTCCTAATAGAAATAATTCTTGAAATGTATTTATTTAGTTTTAAGGCAAGACAGCCCAGATGACTAAAAAATAAACTAATAGATATCACCACACTTCCCCAGTTGATTTATTACATTACAATTTTTTTTGTATTACAAGTTTTCTTAAATGTTAAGTTTAAATATGCAAATGATACATTATCTAATATTTATGCACACATTTTCCATACACTTATAGAACAGAAATCTGAACATTGCATAAAGTCAGGCTCAACATTCTTTCATTTAGTTGATAAATTAGTCAAAGCAGAGGGTATTTTGGATATCTCTTTTTGCCAACAGCCAGAAAAAAATACTTTTTCACCATTGTTTTAGGCATGATATGTAAATCAGGTGAATTATATGTAAAAACCTTCTGAATGTATGACTAAAAGTAGTTTGATTTAATTCAACAAACATTTGTTTCTGCTATTTGCAGCGATGCTGAGCTCCCCTAACACTGGCATGCAGGCTCCGCTGGGCCCCGTGGGCACGAGTCAACCCGCTGTGCCCGCCATCAGCAGCGGCACACACATAGACCCCAGCTCTATGCAGAGGGCGTACGCAGCACTGGGCCTCCCGTACGGGAACCAGCCGGCTGCGCAGACGCAGGGCACAGGACAGCAGCCCACGCAGACCCAGCAGCAGATGCGCTCCATGCCTGCATTAGGTATCACCTTCAATTTGCAAGGAAAGCTAGAAAGTGTTTTTTGAGGAAGAGTGGAATATTTATTGCAAACAATTCAATGTTCCATGTTCATTATTAACCTTGAAAGCTGCTGTCATTATTGCATCTGCTGTCAGTATGCACTGAAATGTCATGCTGCTCCTCATATTGCATATCCGTGCGTAATCCCTGTCTGGTTTCCCACAACATCTTCAGGCACTAACCAGATGAACATCGGTGGTAACGGTATGGCCGATCAGACGAACCTTCACACTGATTCCTCTCTCCCCTCATCCCTCAGCAAGTGAGTCTCTTCACCTTCACCCCTCACCTTTAACCTCTCACACACACTGCAGAGCGGGAAATGTTCATCTGCAGAGTACAGCAATGTAAGAGAGCAAACAATGTAATTGTGGAATGTGCAATTCCGTAGCTATAAGTGGTTGAATGTCAAATCTGAGATGATAAAAGGGAAAAATATTTGAAAAATTGTTTTAAAATGGCAGGTTATTTTTTCAAAGAACTGCTTTGTTCAAAAACTACTGAAACAAAATGTTTGTTTTTTTTGGACTGATTTTGTGCAAAATACGTCATACCAGTTCGTTCTTCGTTTTGACTTGTTGAATGCAAGTTTTTAAAAATGAGAGTTTTGCCATGTGACATTTGAAAACGAATGTCGTAATCCTGCTCCCACAGTCAGATGATGCTAGACGGGTCGAACATGGGCGTCACGGGGAACCTGCCCACAGCTGCGCCGCTGTCAATGCCTGGCATGAAGAAGCCCTGGCACGAGCACGTCACTCAGGATTTGAGGAACCACCTAGTGCACAAGCTGTGAGTTGGAGAAGTCGTCATATTGCATAATCACGATTTGTCAAGGGCAATTCTCTTAACACGGTATTCCCAACAGAGTTCAAGCCATATTCCCGACCCCAGACCCTGCAGCACTGAAGGACAGACGCATGGAGAACTTGGTGGCTTATGCGCGTAAGGTGGAAGGGGACATGTATGAGTCTGCCAACAGCAGGGTAAAGCACCTGAACCTTTCATGCTACGTTTTAACCTTCCTTCAGGCTTTTTATAATTTTTTTGACTGTAAGAAGGGACTAGGTGCCCCATTTTTTTATATCCCTTAATATCTTGTGTTAATATCAGGATGAGTATTACCACTTTCTGGCTGAGAAGATCTATAAGATCCAGAAGGAGCTGGAGGAGAAGAGAAAGTCCAGGCTGTCGAAGCCCCAAATGGTCGGTCAGGGTCCTCAGCAGCCTGGCCTTCCCCAGCCCAACGCTATGGGACCTGGACAAGCCATCCGGTCTCCAAGTTAGTGGTTTTGTTTTTTAATGCTCTGATCTTCTGGATGTTGTATTTCCCTGGCTGCTTTCTTGATTAGCTGCTCAAAATATGCCTTATTTCCTCAGATGGACCTGTTCCTATGTCCAGTGTGCCAAATCAGTTGATGGCCCGGATGCAGGTCCCTCAAGGTATGGTTTTTCATTCTGCATACACTCATATAGTACCGTTCAAAAGTTTAGAGTCGGTGTGAATTTTTTTAATTTATTTATTTTAATATTGTTTTTGAAAGATGTTTCACCAAGGCTGAATTTATTTGATCAGAAACACGGTAAAACAGTTATATTGTGAAATATTATTATAATTTAAAATATCTGTTTTCTATTTTAATATCGGCCTATATATATTAACCCTGTATGGTATGCAATATGATATCAAAGAGGAAAAAATTATTTGTGATGTTTTTCCTGCTTGAAATTGGACACTATAACAATATCAATAACCATTTTCATAATTTTTTACATTTATTAAAAGTTTTTTGCCTCAAGGCAACATTGCACCACAATGGACAAATTTAAACATTTGATATTTTTATGCAGAAAAAAAAAGAAATATATAGAACATGATGAAAAAACACATTAAAAAAGCGTAGCGTAAACTCCGGTGAAAATATGCTAGTCTCACGAGAACTGTTTTGTTTACAGCAAAGCATCCTCTGACATTTTTCTTTACAAATCCTCGTTTTGTACTACTAATTGGTGACCGGTGTTATGTTTTGCTCTCTCCTCTTCGCATCCGCATTCGTCATCGCGTTTGCCTACGTGCTATATCATCCGCTGGACTCCACTCTCTCGTGAACGCGCGTACGACAGTTAGCGGAAGCTAGATATTACGGTTTATAAAGTTGTAAATATGGATATTTTTCTTACACAAACGCATCGCTTCACTTCAAAAGGCCTTTATTAACCCCCCGGAGTCGTGTGGACTTATTTTATAATGGATGGGTGCAATTTTTTGGACTTCAAATTTTGGGCTACCATCCACTCCCATTGTAAAGCATGGATTAGCCTGGACATTATTTAAAGCTGCAGTCCGTAACTTTTTTTGGTAAAAAATTATCATATTTGAGCAAGTACATAACCAGCCAGTGTTCAAAACTATCGCCTTACTTTAGCCCGATTCACAAGGGTTAGCTTATAATAATGTTTTTAAATTTGAGTGGTACGGGTAGGTTTTTGCGGGAAATTCGAGCATGCTGCTGCGTCATTACGTCACTTTTATGGCAATATGCGGTGAAAATTCTTATTTGGGTCATATATTCCAAGACGTAGGCTAGAATCTGTGATTACTAAGTATAGGATTCACACCGGTGCGGTGACTGACTGCTACACATACTCGTCAAAACATTAGATTCATCCGCGCTGAAGCCGTGCCAGAGTACAACCCACGCAAGCTAGATAATTCTGCAAGTAACTGCAATTCCAGGTTTTCAAACAGAGATGGCGACAAAGAGGCACAATTTACGGACTGCAGCTTTATTTAATATAACGCCGATTGTATTCGACTGAAAGAAGAATGTCATATACACCTAGGATGGCTTGAGGGTGAGTAAATCATGGGGTAGAGCATATGACGGGCCGAGCCGCGAAACGAAACTATAAACTATGTCTTACCAGTTTTTAAAGGCCTTAATATGAAGCTTGTCACATGTTTAGAACAAATTGGATTATGCACTTTCTCCGCAGTCTGTGTCCTCCGCTATATTTTCAGATGCGCTCGTATCAAACTACTGTATATCGATATAAACGGTATTGCCTCATATCGAATCGCTTATAAAGAAAATATCGATATATCATACAAACTCGATATACCGCCCAGCCCTACTCTCAATTATACTGTAATGTTGAATGGCTACAGTCAATTGTTAAATATTAGGAAAAATTATATTGAAAAATAGTATTGGTATCAGTGATACTCGCCTTCAGTCATAAAAAGATGCCATTAAACAAATATTAAAAATACACTGACTTTGTTGTTTCTACATTAATTTGAAGATTGAATGTGAAATTATTATATCGCGGTTAATTTCAGAAAAAATGTGCAATTAATTAGTAAATTTTTTTAAATCGATTGACAGCACTAACATTTTTAAGTTCAAAATAAGCATATTTATATACAAATATTTGCTTTTTGAGAGCGTAGGAAGACAGACTTGTTTGTCATTAGCGGTGCTTCATGGGAGTAGGCGTTCCCATTTTGGCGCTATTTGCCCGCCACGCCTCTCTGATTGGTGGAATTTTCTTTGCAGAATTATGGGTAATGTAGTTTTTCAACAGGTTTTCTGCTGTGAAATGCGTTTGAAATAATGGGGCCTGATGGCCTCAACATAATCATATAGCATTGGTTAACCTCAGAGCTCACAGTAGGTCTGTCTTTAAAGGTTTATGAGTTAATAATCAATTTCCCTATGGAGAAAACGAATGTTTTATTTCCGGGACCCGTCTGTTGCACTCTATTGTAGTTTGATATGCTGAGTCAGAATGCCCTCCATCTCTCCTCTGCAGCAGCAGCCGAATGCTAACCTGACCCTGAATTCCGTGGGCCCTCTGGGCACCCAATCCGCCCTGTGCTCCACCCCTCCTCCGCCCTCCGCCTCCACCCCAGCAGCTGCCGCTAGCCTACAGCAACTCCAGACCCAGCCTTCCACGCCGGCCTCGGTCGGGGGCCACGTCACGCCCACCCACATCCCCAGTGGCTTGCCCCGCCCTCCCTCAGCCCTGGGCTCCTCTCCTGCCTCCTCCCAGCCGCTCACACCCCTGCAGCCCCAGCCCGAGCCCTCCCTGCAGATGCAGCAGCCCACCTCTGTGAAAGCGCAGCAGCCCAGCACTCCGGTGAGGATCGCCATGAAAACACAGCCTCGATTGCAGTTGTATGACACCCTTAACTCATGTCCTTCCTCGTTTGTCTGTCCGTTAGCTCTCTCAGATGGCCTCTAGTGTTGATAATAGAGTTCCCACACCTGCATCCGTGACAGAGACCCACTCCCAGCAGGCTTTGCCACCTGACTACCCTGCGGCCGAACTCAAAACCGAGCATCAAGAAGACGAGCAGGACTTTGAGTCTGGGAAAAAGCAGCCCGATCTCAAGATGGAGGTGTGACATTTGTTGAAACGAACAAATTACTTTATTTGGTTGTGTTTTCTGAGAGTTTTACACTTTCGCTCAAAAGTAAGAAATAATTTAATGTTGGTAAAAAAATTAATATTTTTATTCAGCAAGGGTGCTTTAAATTGATCAAAAGTGATGGTAAAAGCATTTATTATGTTAAAAAATATATTTAAAATAAATGCTGTTCTTTTTTACTTTCTATTTATCAAAGAATCCTGAAAAAAAATTATGGTTTCCTCAAAAATATGAAGAAGCACAGCTGTTTTCAACATTGATAAAAATAAGAAATATTTCTTGAGCAGTAGATCAGCATATCAGAATGATTTCTGAAGAATCCTGTGACACTGAAGACTGGAGTAATGATGCTGAAAATTCAGCTTTGCATCAGAAATAAATTACATTTTAAAATATTCAAATAGAAAACAGTTATTTTAAATTGTAATAATATTTCAGAATACGGTTTTTTTTTTTACTGTTTATTGTTAACTACAATATAAACTGTTAAAAAAAAGTTTGCAGTCATTTAAATAAAGCTAGAATAAAATATAAATATTAGATGAAAAACAAACTTGAAAGACTTACTGAAATTACTGAAACTAAAACTGAAATAAAAATACATTTAAAGCATATCGAATTATTTTTTAAATGTGCTGAAATTTCGGCTAACCAGAAATATTCAGCAAAAAAAAATTTTTGGTTTCAGCCTAAACTTTTTTCGCGGGGCCAATACCAGTGATGAACTAAGATCTTTTAGTCTATGCTGTTTCAGTTGCATAAATACAATTTTAAAACATTTTATACCACGCCTACCATCCTAAAATTGCAACAAGGTTTGTTCGTTACATTTGATATAAAACAAAGTCTGAGCTTTCAAACTGTCAATTTTAGAACTAAATCCAAACAATAATTTTGCTTAACTTGTAATAATTTAATGTGTTAATGAATTTAATGAGTAAATCTGTCTTTTCTGTCAAGTTTCTATGATAGCCACAGTTTATATTTTAATTTTTCAACAAGTTGGAGTGAAAATTGTGCAAGTAATTGTGTTTGTTAAAAAGCCTTGAACAAGCTGCACTTAACAGAATGGCCTTTTCTCTGTCTCCACAGTACGAGTTTTCACCTCAGACGCTTTGCTGCTATGGCAAACAGCTCTGTACTATCTCCAGAGACGGCACATATTATAGCTACCAAAACAGGTAACCATTGGCATGATCAGTGGTGTGAGAAATGAGAAGGCGATGAATGACTTTCCAAGTGGGACTGTGATGTTTTTGGTTTCAGCCTAAACTTTTTTCGCGGGGCCAATACCAGTGATGAACTAAGATCTTTTAGTCTATGCTGTTTCAGTTGCATAAATACAATTTTAAAACATTTTATACCACGCCTACCATCCTAAAATTGCAACAAGGTTTGTTCGTTACATTTGATATAAAACAAAGTCTGAGCTTTCAAACTGTCAATTTTAGAACTAAATCCAAACAATAATTTTGCTTAACTTGTAATAATTTAATGTGTTAATAAATTGAATGAGTAAATCTGTCTTTTCTGTCAAGTTTCTATGATAGCCACAGTTTATATTTTAATTTTTCAACAAGTTGGAGTGAAAATTGTGCAAGTAATTGTGTTTGTTAAAAAGCCTTGAACAAGCTGCACTTAACAGAATGGCCTTTTCTCTGTCTCCACAGTACGAGTTTTCACCTCAGACGCTTTGCTGCTATGGCAAACAGCTCTGTACTATCTCCAGAGACGGCACATATTATAGCTACCAAAACAGGTAACCATTGGCATGATCAGTGGTGTGAGAAATGAGAAGGCGATGAATGACTTTCCAAGTGGGACTGTGATGCACTGAGATCAGGCTTGTGATTTTTAGCGCTCAGTTGACTCCATGTTGTTTGCACCTTATAAACAGTCATAAAAGCAAGTTCAAAGGTTAAGCGTCTTGCTCAAGGTTACAGTGGTAATACTTTGTGGGTCAGTCGTTGTGGGTTTTGATTCTTTCAGTTTACAAGCCTAGATCTTCGCCTACTAGGCTGTTCCACCCACCAGCCCACTAGTGTTTGTGTAAACTGGCAGTTGTCTTTAGGGCTGCACATTTAATCAGAATAAAACCCAAATATGACTTCACAACTGTAACCCTGCAGAACTGGAATTTTTGTTTTTAAACGCTTTTTAAATCGCAGTCACAGTTTTTATCGGAAAAATCACAAAAAGTGAAAAAATCTTACAGCCTTATTTGTCATGGTCTGGTGCATCACTTTTCCATAACTAACATTAGTGCATGTTTCTCATCTCCAACACATTGTCTTCGTTTCTGTTCCATGCCTTTAATTTGTTCTTAAAGTCAATCAGAAAAGGCATGTAGTTACTTTCTAGTGCATGAAAAGACATACCATCTTGTAGCCATCCATCATTTTTTGATTTAACGTTCATTTGTGAGTTTGAATGCTAACCTTTGCTCTGCCTTGGCCTGTTTGCTGTGTGTCAATCTCTGCCCGACCCTGCGTTCTGCGCTCTTGTGCTGTGCTGCTCTCCGTGTGCCGGTTTGCCTGTGCTCTTGTGTGCTGGCCCCAGTTCACCTAATTATGGCCTTGTTGCCGACAGGTATCACTTCTGCGAGAAGTGCTTCAACGAGATTCAGGGCGACAGTGTCACCCTGGGAGACGACCCAGCCCAGCCGCAGACGTACGTATCTTCTGCTGCCCAGAAGGCTTTGAGGTTTTACTTCTGTTAAATTACACAATTTATCCTTCAGTTGTGCACTATGAAGGTGCGATGTAGAATTGATCTTGTATATCTCTCTGCAGTATGATATCAAAGGAGCAGTTTGAGAAGAAGAAAAATGACATGTTGGACCCTGAGCCGTAAGCCTTACCATTTTAATGCTTGTCATTGAATTTTTTTTCTCCAATGGGGTTTAGGTTATGTACAGAATGATGTCTTGATTAACTGAGAGCATCTCTGGAGATTTTCTAAGTGCAGTTCAGTGTTGTTATTGTTAACTACAATATAAACTGTTAAAAAAAAGTTTGCAGTCATTTAAATAAAGCTAGAATAAAATATAAATATTAGATGAAAAACTTAAACTTGAAAGACTTACTGAAATTACTGAAACTAAAACTGAAATAAAAATACATTTAAAGCATATCGAATTATTTTTTAAATGTGCTGAAATTTCGGCTAACCAGAAATATTCAGCAAAAAAAAATTTTTGGTTTCAGCCTAAACTTTTTTCGCGGGGCCAAAACCAGTGATGAACTAAGATCTTTTAGTCTATGCTGTTTCAGTTGCATAAATACAATTTTAAAACATTTTATACCACGCCTACCATCCTAAAATTGCAACAAGGTTTGTTCGTTACATTTGATATAAAACAAAGTCTGAGCTTTCAAACTGTCAATTTTAGAACTAAATCCAAACAATAATTTTGCTTAACTTGTAATAATTTAATGTGTTAATAAATTGAATGAGTAAATCTGTCTTTTCTGTCAAGTTTCTATGATAGCCACAGTTTATATTTTAATTTTTCAACAAGTTGGAGTGAAAATTGTGCAAGTAATTGTGTTTGTTAAAAAGCCTTGAACAAGCTGCACTTAACAGAATGGCCTTTTCTCTGTCTCCACAGTACGAGTTTTCACCTCAGACGCTTTGCTGCTATGGCAAACAGCTCTGTACTATCTCCAGAGACGGCACATATTATAGCTACCAAAACAGGTAACCATTGGCATGATCAGTGGTGTGAGAAATGAGAAGGCGATGAATGACTTTCCAAGTGGGACTGTGATGCACTGAGATCAGGCTTGTGATTTTTAGCGCTCAGTTGACTCCATGTTGTTTGCACCTTATAAACAGTCATAAAAGCAAGTTCAAAGGTTAAGCGTCTTGCTCAAGGTTACAGTGGTAATACTTTGTGGGTCAGTCGTTGTGGGTTTTGATTCTTTCAGTTTACAAGCCTAGATCTTCGCCTACTAGGCTGTTCCACCCACCAGCCCACTAGTGTTTGTGTAAACTGGCAGTTGTCTTTAGGGCTGCACATTTAATCAGAATAAAACCCAAATATGACTTCACAACTGTAACCCTGCAGAACTGGAATTTTTGTTTTTAAACGCTTTTTAAATCGCAGTCACAGTTTTTATCGGAAAAATCACAAAAAGTGAAAAAATCTTACAGCCTTATTTGTCATGGTCTGGTGCATCACTTTTCCATAACTAACATTAGTGCATGTTTCTCATCTCCAACACATTGTCTTCGTTTCTGTTCCATGCCTTTAATTTGTTCTTAAAGTCAATCAGAAAAGGCATGTAGTTACTTTCTAGTGCATGAAAAGACATACCATCTTGTAGCCATCCATCATTTTTTGATTTAACGTTCATTTGTGAGTTTGAATGCTAACCTTTGCTCTGCCTTGGCCTGTTTGCTGTGTGTCAATCTCTGCCCGACCCTGCGTTCTGCGCTCTTGTGCTGTGCTGCTCTCCGTGTGCCGGTTTGCCTGTGCTCTTGTGTGCTGGCCCCAGTTCACCTAATTATGGCCTTGTTGCCGACAGGTATCACTTCTGCGAGAAGTGCTTCAACGAGATTCAGGGCGACAGTGTCACCCTGGGAGACGACCCAGCCCAGCCGCAGACGTACGTATCTTCTGCTGCCCAGAAGGCTTTGAGGTTTTACTTCTGTTAAATTACACAATTTATCCTTCAGTTGTGCACTATGAAGGTGCGATGTAGAATTGATCTTGTATATCTCTCTGCAGTATGATATCAAAGGAGCAGTTTGAGAAGAAGAAAAATGACATGTTGGACCCTGAGCCGTAAGACTTACCATTTTAATGCTTGTCATTGAATTTTTTTTCTCCAATGGGGTTTAGGTTATGTACAGAATGATGTCTTGATTTGAATATTATGTATACTAATGCATATATACGCAAATGCTGTGAAAGTGTGACAAATTAACCACGCTTGTCGAAGTTGTGTTTTTAACACCTTCTTTTGTCTAACAGCTTTGTCGAATGTAAAGACTGCGGTCGGAAGATGCATCAAATCTGTGTACTGCATTATGACGTCATCTGGCCATTAGGGTAGGCGTCTTATCCTGCTATTCTCCTGACGTTTAGCTGGACAAGACATGATCCTACAATTGCTTTGTTTGTCTCTTCTTCAGTTTCATCTGTGACAACTGCCTGAAGAAGTCAGGGAAAACGAGAAAGGAAAACAAGTTTTCTGCTAAAAGTGAGTGCTTTTGAAGCGCCTTCTTGATTGCCTCTCTGTCTATTGCAGAGTGAAGTAACCCTCTGTGTTTTTCTGATCAGGGTTGCAGAGCACAAGACTGGGCTCGTACATAGAGGACCGAGTGAATAAGTACTTGAAGAGGCAGAATCACCCCGAGGCCGGAGAGGTGTTTGTGCGGGTGGTCGCCAGCTCTGATAAGACCGTGGAGGTCAAACCTGGGATGAAATCCAGGTAATGTATTCAGAAGTAAATTGGTTCAATTTTGATTTCATGTTGACAAAGTCTGGCATGTACCTGAATTGACAGGAGCTGATTTTGCATCACGTCGTTTCTCTGCAGGTTTGTTGACTCAGGAGAGATGTCAGAAAGCTTTCCCTACAGAACCAAAGCACTTTTTGCATTTGAGGAGATTGATGGAGTCGATGTGTGTTTCTTCGGCATGCACGTTCAGGAATATGGATCCGATTGTCCTTTTCCAAACACCAGGTATCATGCAAATACTGATCAATGGGGGGAAAAGTAACAAATTTAGTCTTGAACAGGCTGAACTGACTGATTGTCTTATTTTACTCCTCTTTCCAGACGGGTATACATATCATATCTTGACAGTATTCACTTCTTCAGGCCGCGGATGCTAAGAACTGCAGTTTACCATGAAATCCTCATCGGTTATTTGGAGTATGTTAAGAAACTTGGGTATGTACCACCTTGAAGTTTAAAATCCTTTCTTAAAGATGATGTGTGTAATTGTTTTTAGTGTTAAAATACTTGCTTTCTCAAATCTCAGCTTAAAATGACGAGTCCACTATAAATAAGCCATTCATAAGCTGTTTGTCTAACCAAAAATAAACCGGGGAACTTGTTTGAACGTCTTTATTTTTCACTTCACCATTAACACTGTTTAAAAACTTGCTTTTGTGATCTAATGGCATTAGTAGGGTTATGCACTAATGGATTTGATTTTCCCACCTACAGGTATGTGACTGGTCATATTTGGGCCTGCCCACCTAGTGAAGGCGATGACTACATCTTCCACTGTCACCCTTCTGATCAGAAGATTCCCAAGCCTAAAAGACTGCAGGAGTGGTACCGCAAAATGCTGGACAAAGCCTTTGCAGAAAGAATACTCCATGACTATAAGGTATGCCAATACTGAATTTGTTTTTTATGGATTCGCGGTCTGTTAGTTTTCATTCACAACAGGTTAACATCACACTGACACAGATATGACTCACTTGTGTTATGCAGGACATATTTAAGCAGGCCACAGAGGACCGGCTTACAAGTGCCTACGAGCTGCCCTATTTCGAGGGTGATTTTTGGCCCAATGTTCTGGAGGAAAGCATCAAGGAGCTGGAGCAAGAGGAGGAGGAGAGAAAGAAGGAGGAGAATACAGCCTCCATTGAGACAACAGAGGTTAGTCAGAGAGTCAAATGGTGTGAATGAGTATTTAGTGTAGTCTGTAGCCATTTTTGAAATGTCGCTTTCTTCCACAGGGAACCCAACTTGACAGCAAGAACGCCAAAAAAAAGAACAATAAAAAGACCAATAAAAATAAGAGCACCATGAGCCGCGCAAACAAAAAGAAGCCTGGGATGCCGAATGTAGCTAATGACCTGTCCCAGAAGCTATATGCAACAATGGAGAAGCACAAAGAGGTTGGACCTGACAATTTTGCTTACTTGAATATAATTTATTTCGCTCAGAGTGTGCCAAGTGCTCACTAGAACACCTCTTGCTTCCTAAAATCCAGGTCTTCTTCGTGATCCACCTGCATGCTGGTCCAATGATCAACACCCTGCCTCCGATCATGGATCCTGACCCAATGCTGACCTGCGATCTGATGGACGGCCGTGATGCCTTCCTGACACTGGCCAGGGACAAGCACTGGGAGTTCAGTTCCCTACGCCGCTGCAAATGGAGCTCTATGTGCATGCTGGTGGAGCTACACAATCAGGGCCATGACCGATTTGTGTACACTTGCAACGTATGCAAGCACCATGTAGAGACACGCTGGCATTGCACTGTTTGCGAGGTCAGTCTTCTCTTTGTGGCTTTGACAGAGCCGTTTAATCTGTTGCCATTGTTTGCTATCCAACAGATGTTTTGTAAAAACAGAAATGGTACTATTTTATTGCCAATTTATTAAGATATAAGGTTTAAACTAGAAGGTTGCAGGTTCAAACCTCTCAAGAAGCGAACCTTGCTTGACAACTGTGTCTCCAAGTGTAAATATAACGCCAATCTCCAGTCGTGCAAATATAACGCCAATCTCCAGTCGTGCAGAAGTAAATTAACATTCTGTGCTATGAATGTCCAGTAAACTATATCAATTATTCTTCTGATTTCTTTCAGGACTTTGATCTATGCATTAACTGCTACAACTCCAGGGGCCATGAGCACCAAATGGTGAAGTGGGGTTTGGGCCTGGACGACGACAGCAACAACCAGGGTGGCGAGGCCAACAAGAGTCCTCAGGAGAGTCGACGCCTCAGCATCCAACGCTGCATCCAGTCGCTGGTGCACGCCTGCCAGTGCCGCAACGCCAACTGTTCTCTGCCATCTTGTCAGAAGATGAAGCGTGTAGTGCAGCATACCAAGGGCTGCAAGCGCAAGACCAACGGAGGCTGCCCCGTTTGCAAGCAACTCATCGCGTTGTGCTGCTACCATGCCAAGCACTGCCAGGAAAACAAGTGCCCCGTGCCCTTCTGTCTCAATATCAAGCACAAGCTGCGGCAGCAGCAGATTCAGCAGCGGCTGCAGCAGGCGCAGATGATGCGCCGGCGAATGGCACTCATGCAGGGCAGAGGAATGCCTCCCAGTCTGCCCTCCCCAACTACCTCAGGAGGTCCAGGGACGCCCAACTCTCAGCAGCTGCAGCAGCCTAATACCCCTCAGACCTCGCAGTCATTAGCCAACCAGCCCCAGCAGACACATCCGAATGTGGCTGGAATGGTGCAAACCTTCCCCAACCAGCCGTCTACACCAGGGCCGCAGGGTAAGCCAGGCCCGCAGTCCTCGCCTCTGCCCCAGCAGCAGTCTCCCCTGCCCATGCCGCCTCAACAACAGCCGCAGCCCTCTCCGCAGCAACAGCAGGCTTTGAAGGTTGCGAAACAAATAGAGATGATGACCAAAGTTCAGCAGCAGCAACAGCACCAGCAGCAGCAGCAGCAGCAGCAAGACTACAGGATGAATGTGAACGTGAATGGCATGCCGATGAACCAACCTCGCATGATGACTCCCATGCAAATGATGGCCCCTCGTGGTCCTCAGATGGTTCAGAACATGCAGCCTGGCCAGTGGCCAGCTGGGATGCAAGGGTCCATGCAGAATCCGCAGGCACCTCCGCCGCAGCAAGTGCCGCCGCAGCAGATGGCCATGGCCCCGCAGCAGTCTCAGGTAGTGCAGACACCGCAACAGGCGCAAATGATGCAGCGCGCCATGATGCAGCAACAGCAGCAGCCGCGACAGATGCAGGCCGTAATGCCTCCCCAACAGGCGCAACCACAGGCCCCGCAGCAACAAGGCATGCAGCAAAGAGGGGTGACCAGCAGCATTGCTCCAGGAGCGCTGCAGGACCTGCTGCGCACGTTAAAATCGCCAAGTTCCCCTCAGCAGCAACAGCAGGTCCTCAATATCCTCAAGTCGAACCCGCATCTCATGGCCGCGTTTATCAAACAGCGGACGGCGAAATACCAAGCCAGCCAACCGCAGCAGCAGAACCCGCAGGCCATGCTCGCAGGTCAGCCGGGGATGCAGAACATGGCTGCGATGCAAACAGGCCCCGTGCAGAGACCCGTCATGCCGCCTCAGCAACCTCAGCCGGCGGCAACCCAAGCCATGGCCGCCCTCGGATCCCAGGGACAAATGATGAACGCTGCACACAATGGAAACCAGCAGCTGTTCCGCCGGCAACTAATGCGCATGCAGCAGCAACAGCAACAACAGGGAGCAATGCCTCCAGGACAAGGAAGATTCCCGCAACCTCAAGGCGCAGCCAGTTATTCGCAAATCCGCATGCAGCAGCAGATGGCCATGCAGGGAGGTGCCGGGCCAATGGGTCAGATGCCGCCCATGGCTCAGATGGGCCAGCCTGGCATGAGCATGGATGCCCAGCAAAACATGCTGCAACAGCGCATGCTGCAGCAGCAGCAACAACAACAGCAGCAGCAGCAGATGCTGAAGCAGCAAATGGGATCACCGGCACAGGCCGCTTCCATGAGTCCCCAACCCCACATGCTTGCAGGACAGCCGCAGGGAGCTCACCTGCCCGGACAGGCCATGGCCAACGTGCTGGGCAACCAAGTGAGGTCACCTGCACCCGTGCAATCGCCCCGTCCCCCGTCCCAACAGCCGCCACATTCCAGCCCGTCCCCACGCATGCAGCCCCAGCCCTCGCCCCAGCACGCCACCCTGCACTCTGGCGCGTCCCACCCCAGCCTGGCGGGACCCATGCCGGGCCCCATGGACCAGGCTCACCTGTGCACACCCGAACAGAGTGCAATGCTTCCGCAGCTTAACACGCCAAACCGTGGAGGGCTGACCAACGACTTGAGTATGGTTGGGGACACCACGGGAGACACTTTAGAGAAGTTTGTCGAGGGATTGTAGCATTAAGAGACGTTCTTTTTGAAAAGAGAGGTGTGTTTTCTACACAAAAAAAATTTGAGAAGACAATTAAATGAACTAATAGGTTTACACAACCAATGGACTGCTTTTTGTTCCTTGTTGGAGGGATTGAAATTACTGTTTAAAGAGCAGAATCACAAACGGTTTTTTTCTGGGAGGGTTGTCGGACCGGCCGAAATGCAGTCCTGGTCTACCAGTTACATTTTTAATTTTTTTGTTTTCGTAGTTTTTTTCGGGGAGGGGGTTATTTTGAGCTTATGGACTTTTTAAATGGAATTTCTCAAGGCAAAATATTTGATTTTATTATTGAAGTCTTTCGTTTTGTATGTTTGCAAATTGAAATGCGTTTTTTTGTTTTTGTTTTGTTTTTTGTGAGTGTGTGTGCGTGTTTAGGGACTGTAAGATACTCGGTGTGGAATTAGGATCAGGATCAATCCTTATTCCTGTCTGCTACGTATTCACATTTACCAGGTTTGGAAAAGGACACGCCGCCTTTTTCTCTCCAAACTGTGGTGTTTGTACAGAGGACCTGTATTCATTTGTACAGAAAGGAGCTTGGCTACTGCGCGCACACACACATACACAAACACAAACACGCGAGCAAATTGTGAAAGTTGCTCTTATTTTTCAAGGTGCCCAAATGCGTTAATTTATTGGCCTGGATTCAGTAGTTGTCTCTTAAGATGTAGGAAGATGTTCCTGTTTTCTCGTTTGATCTCTGAAACATCAATGATGTCCCCTCCACCTCGCGTATGAGGCCGGAGCTTCGTCTGACTGCTGATTTGTTCAAAGAGTTCTTCAATCAACCTCTTTTGTTTTTCTTCTCATGAAACTTGAATTGAAGGTGAATGATTCTTTAATGTAAATCATGCAGCTTGATGACATACTGTAAATAAAAGAAAAAAAGATTGAGATCGCTGTATAAACTGGTTAAGAACTTGTTTCGTACTTATATACCATATTGTTAAATAAACTGTGTGCAACAGATGCGACGCTTCTGGTGACTTCGATTTGCGTGTTCTCGGAATTCTGATTTTAGGAAATTAATATGCCAAAGTTTTAAATTAACACCCGACTGTTTTTACACAAAGCCAGTGTAGTTTCAAATAATTGGTGGACAGGAGCTAATTGTTAAATTAACCGAATTGAGGTTTTTCTGTTTCTATGATTTATGCATGGATCTGTTTCTTTGGATTCGGTCAAGACTGTCATCACCTAATTTTTTCTGAAAGCATATTCGATCAGATTCCTTATCCTTAAAAGCATTTCTCAGTTTTTACTTTTAAAACTAAAAGAGCAGTTTAGGATTTATGTAATTTCTGTCTGATTTACTTTATCTAAGGGAGAAGTGAATGTACCAGAACATTACATTTGAAATGCAATGATCAGATTTACTGTTTAATTGTAACTAAAATGTGTAGTAGAAGTTCAACGAACTGGCCGTTTTACCTTTCTTCAGCATGAGATTGCAGTGTGTGCTCTGCACTGGCTTCACTGCACCTCCTGGTGCCTGAAAGATGCAACTGCAGTTTAGAGCCCTTGTACTTGCATTTCACCATTTCTGTGCGAATTTCTGTGCTCATTCCGACCTTTGATTAAAAATTGTGATATTTGCCGTTATAAAAGTTTAGTGAAAATAATGTCAGTGTTAATATAATGTTAGTGTAATCTTACATTCGAAATTTGGCCTGTTTATAATATTTTCTTACAATAAGTGGAATAGGATGACCGCAATCATGCGTACTCACTCAAAACATTTTGCAATGGCTCTGTTGTAAGTGCAGCTTCACACGCACTGGTGAGAGAAACCCCGCGACGAGCGATCCTGCAGCAAGAGAATTCATTACTTCAGAGTTATGTGCCCTCTAGAAGCTTGCGTTCTGCAAGTGAACAACGCAAATACCTTGCTACGTATACTGCATTAGGCTAACCATTTGCACTTACATATTGTTGCTCTTTTGTTAGTTTTGATTGCTTCTATTGTCTTCATTTGTAAGTTGCTTTGGATAAAAGCGTCTGCTAAATGTAAATGTAAGAGAAACAGCTTTTTAAATTATCTTTAAAAACCAGTTCCAAGCGCAAAAAGAAAAAACTTGAATGCTAAATCTGGTTATTTATGGGAACAATGATGCATTTTTCATAAAAACTACATATTGTGCACAGATTGTAGCTCTAACTTGTCACTGTCTAACTTGCAGTGATGTCACTCTTGTACACTGACACTGTGAAGAGGTGATCGAAAATCACAGAAACTGAGGTACGTGTCTTCACTTACTTAGAAATGCTTTGCCTTGCAGAAACTACATGTATGTAAGATGTACATTTATGTTAAATGTAAAAAAATTTCCCCCTCTCTGGCAATTATGACTAATTGTTTACTAAAAATTGATGGACAGTATCATTTATTTTACATGGAAGCCCATGTCTGCCTCACAAGGGGGGAACATTTGATTTTTAAGTTATGAGATATTAAAGGTTCAGTTGGAAATTGACATACCAAGTCATAACTATGACAATTCTAAATTGACAAAAAGTTAGGCCTATATTTACGATATAAAAAGTTGAAATTGACTCATCGAATTTTGTATCAATTATGAGTTCTCAATTTCGACAAAATGCCTTTGTATCTCATGATTTTGACTTCGTTATTTATACTTTTAATCTCATAACCCTAACCAAAGCATGTTTCTTATGTGGCAGAAATGGGTTTTCCTCCTTTCTAGTGTTACCATGTGTCTACAGCTGTGAGAAGTCAAACAAATATCACGTCAGTTATCTTCATTTAGAGAGTAACTCCTGTATTCCAGGGGGTTCAGTGCTGTATTTAAATGCAGACCTGTGTCACTCTTGAGTTCGCAGTGTGTACGTTACCTCGTGCTCCTTGTGTGTTCCGGAACGCCACAAGCGGAGTGAACAGTGAAACGGCCCATTATGTTGGCGCTTAAACTATTTAATTCGAAGACGTGTCTACACATTATATTTGCGTTATTTTAGAGGGTTAGTCCAGCAAAATATGCTAACAATTGTGGCAGCACTTCTTTTCACAGATATTCAAAACGCGGCGCACACAGAACATGTTTTGCGTTCCATCGCGCTGCGTTCTAATTGTTTTCTTACGTAAACGTACTATTGAGATTCACCGTTATGTCGCGTTTAAGACTAAATGAAGTTAAACGCGCCTCGAGACCGAGCTTTCTTCATTCCTGTTTCTCACATTTTAAACGCAAGAACGAGTTCTGTGTGAACGGCCCACAGCAAGGCTGTGCAGTGGCGTTTTTTAAGGCTTGAACTGTATTGCGAGCACATGGAACAGCCTAATCTAGCTCTCCATCTAAAGCTAAAAACAGCATTTTGTTCATTCCTTTGTAACTATATACTTAAAGCATTTATATGAGCTCAAATTAATTCAACTATTAAATTGAATATTTGCACGTTTAAAAATTAATGTCACGCCGCAGGTGCATCTTTTAAAAGTTAGTGATGCCAATATGATGACTAAAAATGTCTAAAACGAGAAAAAAAAATTACTTTCTATAGATTCTTATACATTTTAACAATAAAGGGATAGCTCACCCAAAGATTTGAACGGTTTTGTCTGAACTGCCTGAAAATGCAGTCAAGCACTGCAGCATTTAAGCGGTTTTTTTCTTCTTCTTCAGATTTATAACAGTAACGTGAACTAAAAGCTACACAATCTACTGTAAATGCAGTTTTACCTCCATCAGCGACACGGATCGCATTATGTGCTCATCACTGGCATCACTGCGCCTCCTGCTGTCTGAATGATGCGACTGCAGTTTAGGCGCAATTCACCTGGATTCCTGTTTCATTTCACCGAGCTGGATATGATCACATTTAGGCAAGACGGATTTGCATTCGAGTTTATGAAATTGTGGAATTTTTGTTTAGACAAAGCAAGCACAGGAACAGTTAGTCATGGTTTATCTATGCATGTTTGTTTTATTTTCATCTAACTTTACACATGAAAAAGTTGTTAATTTACAGAACCAATAGACTGAATGTGAATCAGTTTAGAGGGAAAAAAAGACAAGAAATATTGATATTCAACAGAACATGTTTTTCCTGGTATATTTATCTTGATATGGAAATTTATCTTGCGTCTTTCCAGGTAAATTCAGGAGTGCAACTACGGCAACACAAACCGCTGAATTGTTTAATGTATTGTTTTATCGTTGGATGGACTGACAAATCTCAGTCATATCAGCTGTAAAACACGACTCCCAACAAAACCACAATGTCACACCTGCACAAAGATTCTCAAGTCTTCATATAAACAATGTTTGTTTGTGTTTAGTGTGCAATGATGACCTCTGCGGCACGGGACGCCCCCTTTGGGCATCCATGCATGACTCTAATAAAGGCAAAACAAGTCCGTCAGGCTGTACTCCAGCACAGGTGTCAGTGCTTCTCCAGGGCTTGAGTGAGGAGTTGATTGAGCCGCGAGATCATCGGACGAGGGTCTTCGTTCAGGCCAGCGGTGATCATGGCGTTGTCGTAAATCTGGTACGTAAAAAATGGCATTTAGCTCTTAATTAGAAATAGTATTGAGATGAGAGAGTGGTGGAAATTCTTTCTTTACCTGCTCGAGGAGAAGCTGTGCCAGCTCAGGGTTCGAGTCCTTCAGTGCATGAAGCTTCTTGATCAGATCATGTCTGGAAACAAACGCTTGATGTTACATATATTATGCAAGTACAATATGCTTTTTTTAGTTCAAACTGCTGCTCACAATAATCCACAAGTAATCCACATAACTCCAGTCCATCAATTAACATCTTATGAAGCAAAAAGCTGCATGTTTGTAAGAAACAAATCCAACATCTAGACGTTACTTCAAACCATTGCTTCCAGCTAAAATATGAGTGTAAAAAATTAGAAGCCAACCATGTTTTAAGTGCAAAAGACAGGCCATAAGAGGTTCTAAACCATTTTCATGTGACGGTGGCAAATGCACTTGTACATCATCAGTGTAGCAGTGAAAAGCAATATTATATTTCTTGAAAATATTTCCCAAAAGAATCCTATAAAGAGAGAATAAAATAGGAGCAAGGATGGAGCCTTGAGGCACACCACACATGATCGGTGCTGATCTAGATGAACAGGCCCCAATATTCACTACCATGCTTCTACCAGTCAGATTTAGTCGGATTTAAACCACTTCAGGACTTTCCCCTGAACCCCCACATACTCCTCCAGCCGTGAGAGCATCACTCAGTGATCAATTGTATCAAAAGTAGCAGTTAAGTCTAATAAAACTAACACGACAGAATTTCCAGCATCAACGGTCAGCAACAAATCATAAAAACTTTCACAAGGGCTTTCTCAGTTGAGTGGTGTGTTATTTACAAACTTATTTACATCTTGGATCGCCTGATGGTGAGTTTAATTTTCAGTAAAGTTTTATTTTTGGGTGAACTATTCCTTTGAGACGCATCAGCAATATAACAGTATGTTCATTGCTGTTAGGAAATTATTCTGGAGACACTGGACTGTTTTTTTCCCTCATGTAAACTGTCAGATTGTTTATTTGTGTTCGGCTGGAGTGTTAAAGTTAACTGTCTCGTACCCAGCGTTGATCTCCAGTGTGGGCTGCAGGATCTGGGCTCTCTCCTCTGAACTGCGGGCGAGCTGCTGTGTGCGCAGGAAGTGTCGAGTGGCACCCATCTCCAGCACCGTGATCATGGCTGGGTGTGTGTCTAGACGCGGGGTCACCTACAGAATCATAGGTAAATATGGATGTCAAAAATGATTTTGGAGCATGTGCATGTAAATGGTTAAGCATTTATAATTAGGCACCTTGGTCATCACTGTAACACAAAGAGCGATTAGGATTTATTACATGGCTGTTACCAAACAAATAAATAATTAAATGGACATGGAATATTGACTTGAAATGGAATTTATTATTTGTGAGAAAAGAATCTGACAAACTGCTGGAAACTAAATGTATAATTTAATAAATAAATAAAATGTGTGTGTGTGTATATATATATATATATATATATATATATATAAAATTAAAACCAATGTAAATGTGTTCTAATTTGTATGCAAATGAAATGCACAATTTCAAAATGCCTATTTAAATTGAATGATAAATAAATAGACATGCAATATTAATTTGGGTTAATTTAATTATGCAAGAAAATAGAAGAGTAATTTGGGAGATAAAAATCATGAATATTAAATATTCTGCTGAATATTAAATAAAATTTATAGTAAATTATATATAAAAAATATAATTACCACACAATAATGGCATAATGCATATAAATATACATGTATATTTGAGTTATTGTAACAGGCTAATAAAAAGTTAAAATATGTATTTATATGTAAAATATTAATTTTAAAATACTTTTTAAAATTATGTATATTGGATACCGTAATTTAAGTTTTTATTAAAATGCATTTAATTGCATAAATGATTTCATCTATTAAACATTTATTTGTTTAATAGATCATATTTTATAATATACAAAGGGTGATTAGGATTTATTACATGGTTGATTAACAAATAAATAAATGGATATGAAATACTGATTTGAGTTTAAAATGATTATTTGAGAAGAAAGAAACCAGACACATTGCTAAATACTAAATAAAAATGTATACATGAAAAAATATATATATAATTTAATATATTTGTTAAATGATGTAACAGGCGCATTCAAAAATGTCAATAATATATTTTGTGTATATGTATAATGTAATATTATAATCTAAATACATTTTTCCATAGCATGTACATGCATTTACTTTACTTTATACAATTTGCTGGCATAGTTTTTTGATGAGAGCAAAAGCAATGAACAAGAAGGTAACGTTTGTTAAAAGTTACAATGTTTGGTGTTTTTTTTTTTTTTTGCATGTACATGTGGCTACCTTGATGTTGGTGACTCTTTGCCCGAGTGCATTCCTCATCCAGGCCATCAGATCTTCTGCCTGCTGATCTGTCAGTCGCTCTGATGCTGAACAACACAATCACAGCACCAGTGACTCCGGCTGATCTTATGACTTCTTACATAATTGTCCTTTGGTTTACTTGTTTAAATGCTTAATTAACATTATCATTGTTGGCAAAACGAAGTGAGGAATCAAGAACATCCAGAAATCACTGTATACTGTAGTTGACGTGTCTCGGATAATGAGAGGTAATTATTGCATTGTGACTGTACTGACTGATGTTCTGTCTTACCTGGTTTGCTGTCTTGAAATTTCTCTTCTTTGTAATGATCTACGACTATGTCGGTCTCGACTGAGAGGAGCTTCTTCCTGTCGAACTCTCTGAGGTGAAGCAGCGTGAGCTCATCGAACTGCTCAAAGCAGAACAAGACCTGCAGGAAGAGACAGAACGTCAGAAACAGACACATCTTTCTTCTGTTGACTGCTACTCAATTTTCTCATCAACTCAACATGACAACATATTTTCTGTATGTTTTCAAATTTCATGATCTCAACCACAACATTTTTTTGTCCTATTAGAAATCCCTGTGTTTGACTGTAAATGTTTAACCAATTAAATATAGGTATTGGTTTATAGACATTGAAATGTAAATAC